GTTTTGTTATGCATCATGCTTGTTGTGCATCATGTCATGTTCATGTGTGGTGTGTTTACTATGTTGTGTGCTTCTTCTTGATAGTTCCTGTTTCGTTGCGATCGTGAGGATTCGTTCGTCTACGCTTGGTTCGGCTTCATCCGTTCGTCTTCTTCATGGACTCGTTTTTATTCCTAGCGGGATTTCAGGCAAGATGACCGCTACCCTGGATCTCACTACTATCATTGCTATGCTAGTTGCTTCTTTCTATCGCTATGCTGCGTTACCTATCACATGTTCTTCAAGTCTCCCAAATTGCCATGAACCTCTAACCTTTGACACCTTTCCTATGCAAACCATTGCTTGGCTATGTTACCGCTTTGCTCAGCCCTCAGTTGAAGATTGCTCCATGGTGGACAGGATTTTGGTTGAGATATCACAATATCTCTTATATTATTAATGCATCTATATACTTGGTAAAGGGTGGAAGACTCGGCCTTATGCCTGGTGTTTTTTTCCACTCTTGCCGCCCTAGTTTCCATCATACCGGTGTTATGTTCCCGGATTTTGCGTTCCTTACGCAGTCGGGTGATTTATGGGACCCCCTTGACAGTTCGCTTTGAATAAAACTCCTCCAGCAAGGCCCAACCTTGGTTTTACCATTTGCCTCACCACTACCTATACCTTTCCCTTGGGTCGGCCAACCCGAGGGTCATCTTTATTTTAGCCCCCCTGGGCCAGTGGTTGTCTAAGTGTTGGTCCGAACCGAGCAGCCTGCGGGGCCACCTCGGGGCAACTCGAGGGTTGGTTTTACTCGTAGTTTGACTTATCCGGTGTTGCCCTGAGAACGAGATATGTGCAGCTCCTATCGGGATTGTCGGCACATCGGGCGGCTTTGCTGGTCTTGTTTTACCATCGTCGAAATGTCTTGTAAACCGGGATTCCGAGTCTGATCGGGTCTTCCTGGGAGAAGGTATATCCTTCATTGATCGCGAGAGCTTATCATGGGCTAAGTTGGGACACCCCTGCAGGGTATAATCTTTCGAAAGCCGTGTCTGCGGTTATAGGCAGATGGGAATTTGTTAATGTCCGGTTGTAGATAACTTGACACCAGATCCGAATTAAAACGCATCAACCGTGTGTGTAGCCGTGATGGTCTCTTTTCGGCGGAGTCCGGGAAGTGAACACGGTTTCTGGGTTATGTTTGACGTAAGTAGGAGTTCAGGATCACTTCTTGATCATTACTAGTTGACGACCGTTCCGTTTGCTCTCTTCTCGCTCTTATTTGCGTATGTTAGCCACCATATATGCTTAGTCGCTGCTGCAACCTCACCACTTTACCCCTTCCTTTCCCATTAAGCTTTGCTAGTCTTGATACCCATGGTAATGGGATTGCTGAGTCCTCGTGGCTCACAGATTACTACAACAACAGTTGCAGGTACAGGTTGTGCGATGATCATGACGCGAGAGCGATGCTTGCTTGCATTGAGTTCTTCTTCTGCTTCTTCTTCGATCAGGGGATAAGTTCCAGGTCGGCAGCCTGGGCTAGCAGGGTGGATGTCGTTTGAGTTTCTGTTTGTGTTTCATCCGTAGTCGGATGATGCTCTTGTGTATGATGAATTGATGTTGTATTCGTGTGGCATTATATGCCTTTTGTATGTATCCCCATATATTATGTAATGTTGATGTAATGATATCCACCTTGCAAAAGCGTTTCAATATGCGGGTCTATCCTTGGTGGGACCTTCGAGTTCCTTTTGGATAGGGTCGCATATTGGGCGTGACAGATATCCCCTAAAACGTGGGGCACAATCTCTGTTTTGATACGACGTGCCAATAAGAGGTTTACCTCAAATTGTGATTCGAATAAGCAATAACTGACACATATTATGTCATGGGTGGTGACGCCTTGGTAAAGTTGTCAGTAATTGACTACCGAGCTTGCATACACTGATAGTCTACGAGGCTAAGCAAGCCCTGCACTTCGGATAAAGGAAAGTGCATTTTGGGTAGCCATAGCCGTATTCGATGTACCCCCTGTAAGAAGGGAGGCAATCAGGGATCCACAAGCTTTCTGTGGAACTTGGCCGAGGTCGTGGAACTTGCCTGTCAAGCCGTAGATCATCCAGCCAAAGACATTATCCGACGAAGCTTACCTACCTCGGCTTTGAAGACAAGTTCGAGGGCTACTGACGGTGTCCTGGACTAGGGGGTCCTAGCCCGGCTGGACTAATACATGGCCCGGAGGGACTTCGAAGGTCTTTAATCTATCTCGACCGTAGACTTGGCGTGTACTTCAAGTATATCTGATTAGATTCGGCATGTAATTCCTAGATGGCAATCGACTATGCGTAACCCTAGATACCCCCGATGGCTATATAAACAGAGGACCATTCATTCATACATTCATCATCATCATACCCCTAGGGTTTAGACCCAAACTAACAATCTCGTGGTAGATCAACTCTGTACTTTGATACTTTCATAATATAAGCAAGAGCAGGATGTAGGGTTTTACCTCCACAGAGAGGGCCGGGACTTGGGTAAACGTTGTGTTCTCTCTCTCTCTCTCTCTCTCTCTCTCTCTCTCTACCCATCGGTCTGATCTAACAGCTCGGGCCCCCCTACCCGAGGTCTGCCGGTTTTGACACCGACACAAAGCTCTTATGCAGGAAACCCAGGAAGGCTCTATAGGAGGAAGAACTTTTGGCTTCGGATCAAGAGGTTAATATCCTTAATTAAGTCTGGAAATGTAAAAACATAGCTTCCAAAGTTAAAACTTTTGCATGGAGATTGATTACGAGAGCTATAGCCGAGCTTCTAGATATTCTGGATATATTGAAAAAGAATGTCGCATGCGTGGACAAATATAATCAGATTTACACCTCTTCTTTCATTGTGATTTTTCTATATCAGTTTAATATACTTATGGATTAAGAAGTGGATATGTTGAACACTTTTTCTTATCCAATTGATATCACTCAAATGATATTGAATGCCCATAACCCGGATCTTAAGTTAGAAACTATTTTCAGCATTCTATGGAAAGCTAGAAATGATCTCATGTTTAACAACAAAAATTGGAGCAACATGCAAGTCGTCCATGCCACAAAGTCTATGCTTATTGCAGATTTAACGGAGGATAAGGAGGAAGAGAACAAAACTCTTGATGACAACTCCATGAGTGTTTCAAACAGAATTTTCCTATCCAAAATGCGGGTTTACTAGCCTATGCTGATGCAGCATATAACCCGATGGTGGTGGCTGATGAAGCAACTCTTGGAGTTTTCCTTCAGAAGAGCAAAAAGGAAAGTCAAATGTTCATCCAATCTTCAACCACAAACATTCATTGTGTCTTGTAGGCGAAAGTGCTTGGATTAATTCCGGCGGCTACTGTTGTTTCTTTTCTTTCTGATTGCAGAAACTTGGTGATTGCAGCTGAAGCCAAGGATTTAATTCAAAATCCAGGATATTGGAAGATCGGAACGGGGCTAGCAGATTTTTTCAATCTTACCTATGATCTCTCTCAGTACATAGTTAAGCACATTCCCCGTATCAAGAATTATTACTCACTCTCTTGCTAAGAGAGCTTTCTGCTGTAGATCCTCTTCTAGATTCAACTTTCTATACAACAAAGTCTTTGAATGTATTTCTAGAGTGGCCTAGGAAGCCATCTCTTTTCCCAAGGTGAAATTAGTGCTGTACATTGCCTTGGTTGCTAAATACTCCCTTCGTTTTTAAATATAAGTCTCTTTGAAAATTTCAATAAGGGACTACATACGGAGCAAAATGAATGAATCTGCACTCTAAATATATCTATACATATCCGTATGTAGTTTGTATTAAAATCTCTAAAATGACTTATATTTAGAAACAGAGGGAGTGAATAAATTTAGCCCTCTTTAATGGCTTAGTTTTGTCAAAAGAAAAGTAAAAAACAAAACCATGGTCCAGGCTCCTCCGTGCGTGCCAAAGCAAAAAGATGAGGACGAGGCGCAGGCAGGGAACAGCGGATCAGGAGGGCCCGAGGCGCAACTATCCCCCCATGCAGAGGCTGCAGCTGCCTGGGAAAGCTGACCGGCCCACTGATCGACGGAGGGA